CCGGGGCTCCACCACACCACACCCAGCTCATTAGCAACACAGGGTGATTACCAGCCAACAGGGCTGACGTGGAACATGAGCTCCCTGGGTCTCTGCAAGTTGCCAGCAGTCAACCACTCACCACGCAGAACCCTCTGTCCTAGCTGGGCACCTTGGGGAAGGCGCCAAAGACACAAGCTGATTCAGCCTCTCGTCTCCAGCTCCGGGCGGGGGCCCAGCAGCACAGGAACGAACACTGGCATTGGCCACATTGGGCTTGGACCCATGCCACCCACATTGGCCTGGGCTGTTGTAATCCCCTGGGGGCGCCGGCTCTTCCTTCCAGCCGCAGGGCTTTCCATCTGCAGTCAGGCCTTTTGGTGAGATTTGTTAGCCCGCTGGTTGCCCCTGGCGGTGCCAGTGCTCAGAGTGTGTGTGAGGCAGGGAAGGCTGCTGGCAATGGAACCTGGGCCAAGGGCAGACTCCAAGCTATGGCTCTGCTTGGAGAGGAGAGTCGCACTGGGGGGCACCCAAGTGCCAAAGGCATCAGCTCTCCAAGCAGATCCTAGTGCCAGAAAAGGGACCTCTTTGTTCGGGGAATAAGCTGAGCTCAGTGACTCAGCAAGGCCTGGACTCCTGGCCTGCCTCCCAGCTTCCTCGCCGGGAAAGGGCAACACAAGGAGACTGGTCGCTGCAGGGGCAGCGTTCATCCTGCCAGGCATGTGATACAAAAGACTCTGAGCTCTCCCTTTGTCCAAAGCAGCAGCAGGGCTGTGTGGCTCGTCCCATTGTGCCCAGGGATGCAGAGCTCACACAACACCATTCCCTTGTGGATCTAGGATAGGAATAGTCCCCAGAGACCTCCCCCTCCCACCTCTGATACACAGCAGTTTGGGACAGGAAGTGAAGAATGCCACAGCCAAGCCACACAACAATAGGGCAGCATTTCAGGCGCCAGGGCACTGTGCCAGCCTGGGGACGGCGCTCATGAGCCTCCCTGGCAATGCGTATGGAGAGTGACCACTGGACTGGCACCCGGAGATGGGGGTTTAATTCCCCGCTCTGCCAGTCTCATCATGTGACTCTGGGTAAGTCACTGAATAGCACTGGATCAATTCCCCCCTTTCCTCCTCCCACCCTTTATCTGCCTCGTCTATTTCAACTTTACTTTCTTTGGGGGCAGGGATTCTCTGTTCTTTTGCAGAAGACTCTCCATCTGTATGTACAGCACCCGATGCAAAGGGGCCCACCTCTACCTGCTACTGGCTTACACAGAATAGATCAAACCAGCTCATGTCTGCCAGGACCACAGGGCCATCCCGAGGAGTCTGCGGGGGAGAGAATCGCCTTGCTGATGCACCAAGTACACACCAGATGCGACCACCTTTGCTTTACATCTCCCCCTGCTCCGGTTCCTACATCAGAGCCCCATTGCTTGACCCTTTTAGACCTAAAACCCAGCTGAGTTCCCAATGCTCTTCAGGAGAAAAATGGCTATCAGGGATGATGAATTTCTAGCTTTTTTCCTCAGGCATGTGAGTTAAACCAAATATTTTGACAAGAATCTAGAGAAAAGATTCACATTTCCTCTCTCGCGGGAGGCACCAGATCTCCAGTCATCCACAGAGTCTTCCAGGAGCAGACAAGACCTGGATTTTTAGTGTTTAAAAAAAAGCCACCAGAAAAAACACAACAGAACAAACCTCCTTTGCAGGCCTTCTTTCTACATCGCCCGGAGAAGAGGAGGAATGAGAGAAGGTTAGAGGAGAGAGAAGCAGGGACTATATGAGTGGGCACACATCAAATCCAGAGTTAGGTTAAGACTTGTTAGTCTCACCACGGGAAGAGTGATAATGTAGAACTCTCCTGCCGGATGGACTTCCACATCCAGGGACTGCAAACTCCTTGGGGTAGAGGCTGTCTTTTCATTCTGTTTGTAGAATGCTCCTGATGTATAGATTGATCGACTGCACTCACGATTCAATAATAAAAATGTTCAAGAGACCAAACAAACAAGCATAGCTAATTTACTCATAGACTTTAAGTTTAGAAGGGACCATTATGATCATCTAGTCTGACCCCCTGCACAGTGCAGGCCACAGAATCTCACCCACCCCTCCTAGAATAATCCTCTCACCTATATCTCAGATATTGAAGCCTTCAAATACTTTGAAGACCCCAAGATGCAGAGAATCCTCCAGCTGTGATCTGTACCCCATGCTACAGAGAAAGGCAAAAAACCTCCAGAGCCTCTGCCAATCTACCCTGGAGGAAAATTCCTTCCTGACCCCAAATATGGCATTCAGCTAAACCCTGAGCATGTGGGCAAGACTCACCAGCCAGACACCCAGAAAGTTCTCTATAGTAACTCCTATCATCCCTCCATTGACCTATTTCCCACTGATAATGAATGGTCAATTAGTTACCAAGATCATGTTATCTCATCAAACCATCCCCTTCATAAACCCATCTAGTTTAATCTTGAAACCAGATAGATCTTTTGCCCCCACTACTTCCCTTGGAAGGCCGTTCCAGAACTTCACTCCTCTAATGGTTAGAAACCTTCGTCTAATCTCAAGTCTAAACTTCCTACTAGCCAGCTTATATCCATTTGTTCTTGTGTCCACATTGGTATTAAGCTTAAATAATTCCTCCCCCTGCCTGGTATTGATCCCTCTAATATATTTGCTGCCTAAAGGCAAAGTAGTACAATACAAAGAAGGAGACACTTGCACCCAACTTTTGGGAAGCAATTCTGATCACACAGTGTGTTCACCTCACACAGTAGGTTTGCTTTGAAGATTCACCTTCAGAATTATTTTCATTTAGAATAGGGTTGCTTACAAGCAAGGAGCACTTCAGACCTCACTTAAGATTCAACCCCCATTTCATACCAGCTCCTAATCTCGTTTACCACATTCCAAAGAAGCTTGGAGCAGTGGTCCTTCCCAGCCTGGCAAAGATACACCATGTCTTTTGATGCTTCCTCCTATTTTCTAATGCCAAAGCTGACTTCAACTTTGAAAAGTGTTGTGGGATACTTGACGGGGCCAAGCAGAATTGTGGGAGGAACACATGACTTTCAGTCAACTCAACTTCCCAGGACCTACGTCTGTGCATGACACTAATATGAGATACACGTAATACCTAGACATCGTATACCCCACATTAATAACTGCAGGCACTGGCTAGTGCATGGTGTCCTGGCCCAGCTCCCTCCTTTATAGCAATACCAATAATAAAAAGGGAGTGACACCTAAAATGTGTCTACACAGCAAAAAACCACCACCACCACCCCTCATGATGGTAGGGAATATCAGAGCCAGAGTCAACTGACTCAGTACTAAAAACTGCGTCGTAGCATCTGGGCTCCAAGACCGTCTGCCTTCACTGGGTTTCCAAGGCCTGAGCCTGAACATTTCTGGTACTGTTTTAGCCCAGTGGCAGAAGCCCACTCAGCTGAGCCAAGCCCAGACTCTCGGGGCATGCTGGGCTTAGTTTTCACTGTGCAGGACTTGCCCTGAACAGCCTGCAAAGCCTGTGGACCCTTGAGCTCAGCAGAGTCCAAGGGCACAATCTAGGCCCTGGTTATTTTCAGGTCCCCTTTAAACCAAAGAATCTGAGACATGCTGCTAAGATACTGGCCTACACCTCTGAAAGAGGAGGGGGTGCTAAATCCCCACCCCTGAGCAGTGAGGTCTCCCCCTTCCCCAGCAACAGTTGCCTGGCCTATCAAGCTGAGGCCCTGCAACTCAGTGCACCTTACATCTGCTCAGAAAGATTAAACATGTTGCACAAAGTTACACATCCCCCTCTCCCCTCCTGCTCCTCAAAGACAAAGGAGCCGCCTGGGAGTTGAAATGTGTGCACACAATGGAAGGGGGAGTGCGTGGGTTGCATGGGGGGGGGGAGCACGCCTCCTGAGGAAGGGCAGTGTCTTAAAGACAATTTCACAAGCCCCCCCAGCCAAGATTGGGCTGAGTGAACCAGTCTGGGATGAAGGGGGAGCTGGAGAGAAGCGAAGCCCCTGCTCCTCCAAATCCACTTTCCAGCCACAGCCTATGAACTTGGGTCATAAGAACCTTTACCATAGAGCCTTGGGCTCCACCCCCGTCCCACGCCAGCCTCCCTCTCGGAGCTCATTTCTGGGCCAGCCTGCACCTGGAGTCCACCGTGGGAGAATTTCCTGCCACGTTCCTCCAGTTGCAACTGGCCCCTAACCCTGACAGCCTTCCCCCCGCAGCAGCCCACGTGCAAAGTACCTGACACGGCGAGTCTCTGCGCTCTGCCCGGCAGGGCTACCTCCCGGCTGGGGAGCTCGAGTTGACCCGGCATGGCTGCAACCACCAGCCCCGAGACAAGCAGAGCTGCACGCAGGTGATCAGACTGCCCCTTGGCCAGCGTCCGCGTGCAACTAACTAGCCCGCAACTTCCTACCACAGTGGGCGTGGCCAGATGGGAGGAGCTAGGGCAGGGGGCGGGGCTAGGGGGACCTGGGCTCCCCTCCCCGACCCATGGGAAACTCTGAAGAAGTGCATTTTCACAGGGGTCCTCTGTGCGCTGAGTTTTCTCCCTTTAAGGCGTGTCATCGTGGGTTTATTTGCAGGGCAACCCAGGGTCTCCTCTGTCACCCAAGCGGGGAGGGGGGAAGCTCATCAAGTGCTCACAAAGATCCTGCGGGGGGGAGCCCCGATCCTGGACCTGTGGATCCTCGGGGCAGGGTATGGAGCTGATGGGCGAGCAGGCTAGCACGCTGGCGTGGGGCGATTTGCTAAGTCATCGCTCGAGCTGGGTGGGAAACGATGGATCCTTTTATGATATTGAAAAATGCTCCTGAATTGAGACAAAAAGTCAAACTCTCAGAAATCTTTGCCAGTGGAAACCTGGTTCGGGTCACTGGGAATGTTTTGTTTTGCTCCTTTAGGAACGTCTTGATTATGACCGATTTTTAATGTTTAAACTATAATTGGCTTACAAGTGGAAAGGACATATCACTTCAAGCTGGACAAGTGAGATTTTTGTCATTTAAAAAAAATCAAAACAAAACATTTTGGCGTTGTCCAAACTTTGTTTTACCCCTCCACGGTTTCGGGTCACTGGGAATGTTTTGTTTTGCTCCTTTAGGAACGTCTTGATTATGACCGATTTTTAATGTTTAAACTATAATTGGCTTACAAGTGGAAAGGACATATCACTTCAAGCTGGACAAGTGAGATTTTTGTCATTTAAAAAAAATCAAAACAAAACATTTTGGCGTTGTCCAAACTTTGTTTTACCCCTCCACGGTCCAGAACCCTTTATCGACCCCCCTGTGTCTTATGAACAGTCTCCATATTTTCTGACTGCAAAAGCCTGCCCAGCTCTGGTCCCTGCTCCCTTCTGGAATGTCCAGACCTACAAGTCTGGGCGAGCAGATGCGATTTTCAAAAATGACTAGTAACATTTGCAGCCTCAGTGGTTGAATGGTCGTCATAAAGAGGCCTGCTTTTCAATGAGGGTGCCCGTGCTATTTGTCAATCCCATTCAAGACTGGTCGTGAGGGTGCCTATTTGTCAATCCCATTCAAGACTGGTCACTTAGGCTATGTCTACACTGCAGTTATTTCAGAATAAGCTATTCTGGAATAGTTATTCAGAACTAGTTTATTTCAAAATAGCACATCTACACTGCAGGGAAGCCTCAAAATTAGTGGAAGGGCAGTCCATAATGTAGACATGTTAGCTCGATTTACAGCCCCAGAAGGAATAACTTAGAATGGCCCTGCCTTCGATATTACTATTGATCTACCAGCAATCTGCATGCAATCAAAGAACAGATCAATGAAAAACAGAATATATTTGAATCTAAGGCTTGTCAGGAAGAGATGCTCCTAAGGGTGTGTCTACACAGCAAAATTATTTTGGAATAACAGCTGTTATTCCAAAATAATTTTGCTGTGTAGACACACCCTTAGGAGCATCTCTTCCTGACAAGCCTTAGATTCAAATATATTCTGTTTTTCATTGATCTGTTCTTTGATTGCATGCAGATTGCTGGTAGATCAATAGTAATATCGAAGGATGATAGTGTGATGATGGTGGCTGCCTTCTTGGCTAGCTCATGGGGGACCTCCAAAGCTTCTAGCATGAGCTAAAGAGTCAAAGCTCTGCAGGTAGGGACTGAAAAAAACTCCTATCTATGGACTGGCACCCAAGGAGACTCATACCACGTGCTCATCAGACAGTTACAGTAGCACCTCTACAGTGCATCATGGGTTTGTGGGAGCGTTCTGTAATTGTTCTTCACAGCACAGGCAGGGTCACTATTCCCATTTCACAGCTGTTGCAACTGAGGAGTAGAGCAGGAAGGGGATCTGCATGTCAGTGGCAAAGCCAGGTTGGGACAACATCAGACATGGGATTTTCCTCTCGATTATTAATCTGTGCCTCTTCCTGATTGTATCATATCCGGGTATTTACTCAGATATTCAGCATGCAGTTTATCATTCTCCTGGGGGCTGGATATAGTGGTGTTAGATTGTATATGAAGATGTGACCTAAACCTGTCTCCTGGTTAATCTTATGCATGTTCTGAGAAGGTCGATTGGTAGAAATCCACATCCAACCCAGGGGCTTACTGCTCCCAGGTCCAATTTTAAACGAGCCTGTCTGCTCCAGCCGCTTACTGAAGGAATCATAATTCTCTGTTGGTGACACAATCGTCTCCATGACAACTAACAGTGATGTCACCAGCAGAGGATTATGATGTGAGGTGGAGGAAGAAGCAGCGGGAGCTGCAGGCACACTCTTAAGGAACAAAGAGCCGGCTTGACATGCACATATCCCTGCTGGGACGATGCGGGGAAGGGGTGGGGTGGAAGACAGACATGCTACCTAGCACTTTCCTGAGCAATTTACCAGCAAGCTGGTGTAACTAATGAAAGACGTGCTCTAGCAATTGAACAAAGAGGCTGCCTTACCCAATGGTTAGCGCACTGAGCCAGGCCTCGTGGGCTCAGCCACCCCACCTCTTCCTCTGTCTTGCTATTTGACATTGAGCAAGTCACTTCCGTTTCCCCCATGTAAAATGGGGGGGAGGGAGGGAGCACCTAGGTCCAAGTGACCCATGTGTAGATTAGAACTAATCTAGATGCTTTGCGAGGGATTAGATCAGACACCTCCGGAGGTGGTGTGAGTGTAGCTCATGTTTGTGAAACACTTGGGGCCCGCTGCATTGAAGCCACTTAGAATTGATGTTTTCCCCTCATTAACTTCAGCTTCTGTTTAAAATCAGCCTCTGGCTTGTCAGACTAAACATGGCCTTAATTTAATTCCTAGCCCATGTATCAAATACCAGATGAGATCTAGTCAAAATAAACCAAGATTCACTGATGGTTTGGTGGACAAGAAACTGCTCTATTTCAACACCCATTCCCAACAGGTGAGGTACTTGGGACTTCTGGATCTACAAAGATGGGTGGATCCTGGCATAATGTCAGTGCGCCAGGATAATCCCAAAGTCATTTACTCTAGTGATGCCGTATTTAGCCAGGTAGCTGTTAGGATTCCGTTTCTGAAACTACGTCTAGACTTCAAGCTTCTTTTGGACGAGATCTTCTGAAAAAGCTTCTTCCGAAAGAGAGCGTCCACACAGCCAAAGTGCATAGAAAAAGCCATCTGTTTTTTCGAAAGAGAGCATCCACACTGACTTACATCCACACTGCAATCATGTTCTTTTGAAAAAAAAGTCGAAAGAACAGAGGGGTTTTTCTGACATTGGTAAATCTCTGTGTAGAAGGAAGAAGCCTTTTTCCAAAAGAGCTCTTTTGGAAAAAGGCTTCTTCCTTCTACACAGAGATTTACCAATGTCAGAAAAACCCCTCTGTTCTTTCGACTTTTTTTTCAAAAGAACATGATTGCAGTGTGGATGTAAGTGAAGTTTTTTGGAAAATCAGCCGTTTTCCCAAAAAAACTCTGTAATGTAGACATAGCCTGAGTCTTGCATGATGATAGGTTTCAGAGGTAGTTGCGTTAGTCTATTTCAGCAAAACCAGCTAGTCCAGCGGAACCTTAAACACTAACAATGTTATGATGTAAAAGCTTTCATGAGCTGCATCTCACAAAAGCTTATGCCATAATAAAATTGTTCATCTTTAAGGTACCACTGGACTCCTTGTTATTTCTAAGTCATGCACCTTTAAACCAGTAAGAACTTTGCTGGCTGCAGAGTCCAGAAACAGTGTTGCATTCACTTTAGATCAGTTACAGGAGGGAAGCCCACACCATGCTCTCACATTCATGGAGACAACATTTGTTCTTTCTTGTGGTGTTCATTTACTCTAAGTAAAAAGCCATTAAGACTGAAAGTATCTGTTTGCTCCTTTCCCTAATGCCAACCTATCAGGATTAGTCCTATATCCTTTAGAATAGTGATAGAAATGTAGCTGTGTTAGTCTGGTGTAGCTGAAACAAAATACAGGACTATGTAGCACTTTAAAGACTAACAAGATGGTTTATTAGATGATGAGCTTTCGTGGGCCAGACCCACTTTCTGGGAGAGTCTGGCCCACGAAAGCTCATCATCTAATAAACCATCTTGTTAGTCTTTAAAGTGCTACATAGTCCTGTATTTTGTTCCTATATCCTTGATTCTTTAAAAGCAGATACATACAATGAAATTAAAATTAAAATCCATTGATGCTGCTGAGCTATTTTTAAATGCAGATTTTCCTGCTCCAATTCTCCTCCTCCATCAAATAGATTGTAACTTTTCCCTAATAAGCAATAGACTCTCAATATTGGTAACACATTCCCAGTGGGTCTGGCTGGCTCAGATGCACCAATATATCCTGGAAAAGTAGTGAGCAAAAATCACACCTATCTCATGCTTGGTTGATGACTGATGTGAAACATGTTGGCTGCATCTAGACTGGCATGATTTTGCGGAAATATTTTTAACAGAAAAGTTTTTCCGTTAAAAGTATTTCTGCAAAAGAGCATCTAGATTGGCAAGGATGCTTATGTGCAAAAAGTGCTTTTGTGCAAAAGCATCTGTGCCAATCTAGATGCGCTTTTGCACAAGAAAGCTCTGATGTCCATTTTAGCCATCGGGCTTTCTTGCGCAAAAAATTAAGGTGCCTGTCTACACTGGCCCTCTTGCGCAAGTATTCTTGTGCAAGAGGGCTCATCCCTGAGCGGGAACGTGAAAGTATTTGTGCAAGAAGCACTGATTTTGTACATTAAAAGCCAGTGCTCTTGTGCAAATTCAAGCGGCCAGTGTAGACAGCTGGCAAGTTTTTGCACAAAAGCGGCTGCTTTTGTGCAAAATCTTGCCAGTCTAGATGCACCCGTTGAGTTTCTGCTCGACCGGCGGTCCACACCACAAAATGACAGCAGTTCTAGGGGTTTGATCTAGTAGGGTGCTGTGCGTTGTCCATTCCCAGTGGGGCCTGCATA